TAGGACTAAACGAATGCCATTAATTTCATTTAACCTAATTATCCGCTTGTTAAGTGTGACGTCATGGGAGCGGTTTCTGGATTCAAGTGCTCTATCAAACTGTATGGGGAGACTTATTAAATGGTAATAATAAACGTTTATAAAGCGATGCTTAATATCCAATAGCCAGAAAGAGATACATTTTTTATAAATTATTACAATTTTGGTATGTATGATGCAGCAAGTCCAGAGACTGGTGTGTACACCATGAGTTTATATAAAATTCAATTTAATGTGTAATATGACTAAAAAGTGGCCATAAACGAATATTTTCACAATTCAAATGAGAAGCGGACCCAGACAGTATTCCATATATTACAATTTAACAAGCGGATACGAATATGTGCAGACACACAATACAGAGTAGAACAAGGGTTCGTAGCCCTTCCTGCAGGCACAGTACATCAACATAACGTCATATTGACGTTGTACCCCAATGTACCCGCAACGTCATGGAGACGTTGGATTTTTGAAAATCAGGTCAATGCCAACGTCTAATCATGTTACACCTTGTGTACCTTGACGTTACCACTATGATGTCTATCAGTCGTTGGATTTTGGTCACTTTCCAACACAACCTAAAATAGACCAAATATCAAAGTAGTTAGACGTCATTATTGGACGTCAAAAAAACGTTGTCCTTAGACGCTGTCTAGACATTGAATTTTTGTAATGACCTGAATCTAACCTAATATTAACGTCTTCTGATTTTGTGTGCGGCGATGCAGTGGTGCAGTAGGTAGTGCTGTTTGGCTGGGTTAGTTGGCGTTTCTGTGTGGGGTGTGCATGTTCCCCTTGCGTGTGTGGGTTTCCTCCCGGTGCTCCGGTTTCCTCCACAGTCCAAAGACATGTGGTACAGATGAATTGGGTGGGCGGAATTGTCCGTATTGTATGAGTGCAAATGGGTGTGTATGGATGTTTCCCAGAGATGGGTTGCGGCTAAAAGGGCATCCACTGAGTGAGGTTAGCTGTTCATTCTGCTGTGGTGACGCCAGAATAATAAAGAGACTAAGCCGAAAAGAAAATGAATGAATGATGTTTGTGCCTGCTGGGCTTGTTCCTGGAGATTTACCTGCCTACAGAGTTCCGCTCCAACCCTGATCAAACTCACATGAACCAATTAATTAACACCTGAACAGCACTTGGTAATTACAGGCAGGTGTGTTTAATATGGGTTGCAACTGACATCTGCAGAAAGGTAGATCTCTTGGAACAGGGTTGAGCACCCCTGGTGTAGCGCGTGGGTCTCAAACTCAATTCCTGGAGGGCCGCAGCTCTGCACAATTTTGCTCCAACCCTAATCAAGCACAGCTGATCCAATCAATTAAGGTGTTTAAGACTACTATGCTGCATCCTAATTCACATACTTTTCCTTCACAAAAAAAGTATCTACTTTTAGGGTGTAGTATATATACTTTTGAGTGTGTAACAGAAAAGTATGCAAGCTTTTAGACAAAACGAGATCTTTGAATTGCTGGATTATTATATAGATCCATTTCACTTCAGTCAGTCACTCGTTATGTTCTAGGGCTGCACAGTGGTTTGATAGCTAGCACTGTTGTCTTACATCAAGAAGGCCCCCAGATTAAGCTCTGGCAGAGACGGCAGGCTGTGTAGAGTTTGCATGTTCTCTTTGTGTCAGCGTGGGTTTACTGTGGGTACTCTGGTTTTCTCCTATAGACAAGCAGGTTAGGCAAATGAAAAATTCTAAATTGTCCCTCCGCCAACTTAAGTGTAAAGTCGGTCACACTCCTGGATAAGAAGCATATAGAGCTGCATTTGTGAAAACTAAAGGTAACGCATGCCATACAGTATTTAATATAAGACTTTAGATGTCACTTTGTGTAATTTGAACAGCGTACATTAACCATGCGTTCACAACGCCACCAGCAAGTGTTAAAAGTAGCCGGAAGTCATTCATTTTAACTGCCCATTGCATTTTGGTTGATAAAATCAGCTCAACTTTGTGGTTATAAGCTATGATGTGGTTCAGCAACATATCGGAATTTACGAGTCAACCGCTTGAGAGGGTATACAGAATATACAGTCCAATAAACGTTGGTTCCGACCACATTAGTTCCCAAGCAAAACAAAGCACAGAGGTTGATTAATATTAAAGTTTCCCAGTTTGTACTGTAGGATGCACACAAATTAGCGTTAACGTGAAGCCCAAGACTATTAAACGTCTTCCATAAATGGCATGTTAAAATCAGTGTAGCGCTTAAAAATGAACATAAAAGCCTAAACACTTTTAATTCAATTGATTAATTTAATTCAAAAGCATGTAAACATATTCGACTGTTAGTGCCAGTGGCAGGTCAGTTACTTTGAATGTAGAGCGTTGTTGGCAAGGTGGCCAGAGTGAATGCTAACAGTCTCGCTGGCAGCAGTGTAAATGCACGTTAAGGGTCCGTGTCCACCAAAGCTTTTTAATAACAGAAACATAAGCAGAGCTTTTTTTTCTGTTGTTGTCATTGGAAGCGCCGTGTTTTTAAAACACTGGCAGTGTAGCCAGGCACTGAGCATCGACATTGTTCTACTCTGCGGAGAGCTTTGTTTTTAAAAGTTTTGACAGTAGAGAAGCACTCACCGCTGAATGTTTTTAGAACAGTGCTCACAAAAACACTTCGGTTGACACACGCCTTAATAGAAAACAATGTTTAGAATTTTAAAAGACATGGTGTGGCATAGCATGTCTGCTATGGGACCCTCTAAAACAGTGGTCCTCAACTTTATTATCACCATAGATGGTCAACGCAACAATTTTACCACAGATCTTGGGGGTTCGTATGTTGTAGGTTGCTAAGCGACTATCAACCGTTTTTGTCTCATTGCTGCAGCACTGATAAAAGTTTTATTTATGGAAAAAATGACAAAGCACTGCAGTGTTTGTGTGTTCTGTGGTTTTCTAAGATAATTAGTTCACTGAAATATATTCCATACAAGCTTAAGCTGATCGGTCAGTTCTTGTCACGTGACTCGCGGTGCACTCGTGGAATTCATTCACTGGGTGCATCTGGAAGGCACGAGCATGTCACGCCGCTTGTTTAAGCAAGCCACATGGCCATTTTAAACAACAAATTAAAAAGCTGCCGTCATTTGCGATCTCCAGCAGCTGATCTTCCTGCACAGCCATGGTGGATTAATCTAATTTGTTGACAAATGAGTTGCGAATCCATTCCTTGGCTGTGCGCGGGTCCTTCACTTTTCGCCTTAGCAAAGAAACTTTCCAAAGACGTCTATTTCTTACTCATTTTACTGCTTGTGGGGCACTCAAGTGACCCAGATGTAACTGAAAGATTACAGTTCAGTATTTCAATTTCATTTTTCCAAATAAGAAACTTTTCAAAATAAAAGATTGTTCAGACTCAGATAATAAATAAAACGGAATTAATTAATGATTTCTTGTGCGGCCCGGTACTAATTGATCCATGGCTGCTCTAAAGTTTACTTGCATTCCATTTCACTTGCAGACTGTGTACCAAATTGGATGCGTCAATCTCCCAATGGGCACAATGAAACAATCATGGTCAAACTGAAGTGCTTGAAACAGGCACTTCAGATTACTTCCATTTTAATTTTACAGTCTTTCGGTGTTCTAAATGAGATCTGTTTCCTAACAGCACTGCAAAGGGAAAACATTTATGGCCGCACTACTGAAGGGTTGTTCCATAAGGCAACTTCATATCAGCCTTAAGACCACAGGATTACTGATTACTGGGTGTGTTCCGCTTTACTGTCACACACACTCATGCTGTGTTCCAAAAGAGATCAGTTCAGCTACAATATTGAGGATTACTCAAAACCAACCATTTTTATGGAGGTTTTTTTTCCCAAATATTAATTTTGTGGAGTGAATGACAGAGAAATGCTCTGAAGGGTAAGCCTTTTAAAGGGATTAGAGCATAGGGAGGAACTGTTCGACAGATATTTTCTTTGACATTTTATAGAGTGTAGTGTATTTTTGAAAAAGAGCAGGGCTTGGATCTCTATCCATTGGCTGTTGAGTGGTAGGAGGCTAATCTGAAATGTGAACTAAAGTCCACAGTGTGCTTCGTATATGCATACTTCTCTGATGATGAAATTCAAGATCACTGCAAACTGACTGGATGTAGGAGAGGGGTGGAATCTATGCAAGATAATTGATTAAAAAACCTATTGTTTGACCAAAAAATCAAGTTATGATTGAAAATGATGATGTCAGCTACCCCCTACCAGCCCATAATGCTATTATCAGTATTACTTATAGTATCAGTATTACTAATTGGTGCCAAGGAAATGACTTATACTTTAACAGCATTAAAATTTGTGCCCAGCAAACAATTTTGTGTTTAATAGACGTCTGATAGACATCTAAATGTGGTTAGCTTGGCTAAAGCAAGGCTAAACTTGGGCTGTTAGTGAAAATCTAATTGGCATCTAAGAACAGCCCAAAACTAGACTATTCCTTAAATAGACAGATTAGACAGACTTTATTTGTGTGGTCATTCTTCTCTGTTTATTTGATGGCTAGCCTAGTTTTGGTCTATTCTTAGACGTCTATTACTTAGTCTTGTTTTAGCCAAGATGACTATGTTTAGACATCTATTAGACATAAAAATTGCTAGCTGGGTAGTAACTATACTTATGGAAAAAAAGCGTGAACATTCTTCAAAACGTCTCCTGTTGTCAAAGCTTTGGAACAACATGAGGCTGAAAAAACAATGACATACATTTGTACGAACAAATTCTTCAAGGCAAACTAAGTTACAGCATCATTCCCCTGTATGAACTCCTTTCAGCATGATGCCTGGTTGGTACTTTTTGATGTGCATTGTTTATATTACAGAACTAATGTCCACAAGAGGGCGTTGACAGTGAATGTGTTTATATTCTGATATGGGTTCGAATACAAAGGAAAACATGAACCGAAACCAAACTGTTTCTTTTGTCCATAGCATGACACTAAAAAAAACATCCCATTGTCATTTAACTCAGACTTTTATTTCATTTAAAATAATTCATACAAATGCATACAGTCACAAACATTTCTTTTTGGATTCTGTTTAACAAAAAATATTAATATCTCATAGTATATATAGTATGTATATTGCTAGCCTACCACTTTACCAGGAAGGAAACTATGTAGGCGATGGAGAGCTGCAACTATCCCGGCATCCTCGAAAACACACGGTACAATCAAGTCACACACAAACAGGCAAGCATAACAGCTTTGCACAAGACAAATTTGTTTTTGTTGTGTTTTTTTGTTTTGTTTTGTTTGTTGCCGTCAAATTTTTTTTTCGGTGAAATTTTCGTGTAAAAAAAAAAATGTTTTTTTTTCTGTTTTCTTTTTTTAACACATAAGGTAATACATGCTCCGAAAATAAAACCATACTGACTGTAGTTCTTTAAGGTACTGTACTGACTATAAAAGACAAATGGGTAAAAAAAACAATGCACTATGTGGTTTAATTTAAAAGGAAGAAATGTAGGAAGGGGGGAAATAAATTTTCCTGAGAGGGTGTGCAAATCCCGCCTCTTTCGGGGCTTTTGAAAAACAAACGAGCTGAACTAATATGCTTTTCATCATATCTATAATCAGGTGGTAAGATGCCTCCCTTAATGCTGTTTCGGGTTTTTTTATTTCTCATCTACAAACCATTGATCATATCCTAAAAACTGTACACAAACAGGTTACATTCATGTAATAGCTACAGTTGTTTTAACAATGAAACCCATTAGACAGACAAAATAACAGATAAAAGATCGCCCACTGCACTTGGACAGACTACAATCTAAAACAGCAGGATTTTGCATCAGGGAGTTTAAAATCCACATGATTTTCTCTCTCTTTTGTTTTTGTTGTTGCTTTATTCCCCATTAGATACTTCAAAGAGCGCAGTCCACCCGTTCAGTCAGAGTTTGGCTAGTCGTGGTTGTTTTTTGTGGCTGGTTCTGAGCCCGGGAGCCTGTTTCCGCTCCTCTTCTTTGGGGTTAAGAAGGACCAGGAGAGTTTTATAGTGGTACGTTTGAAGATGAGGGGGGCTACAACTGTTCGTTGGGGTGCTGCTCTCTATCAGGTTCAGGTTTTCCGGTTTGTCCGGGTGAAGGGGCGTGTGGGGGGTGGGCTACAGTAGGCAGGCTGTGAGTTATTGGCACTGCACTTGGCATGATGCCCTCCACTGGTGGAGGTAGACCCCCTGAAGCGTGGCTCACTACGCCTGGAGGGTACCTGCGGAGGTGGGATATTATTAAATATTAATTAGCAACATTAGCAATATACAGTTGAAGTCAGACCTATTAGCCCCCCTGAATTATTAGACCACCTGTTTATTTTTTCCCCAATTTCTGTTTAACGGAGAGCAGATTTATTCAACACATTTCTAAACATAATAGTTTTAAAAACTCATCTCTAATAATTTATTTATTTCATCTTTGCCATGATGACAGTAAATAATATTTGACTAGATATTTTTCAAGACGCTTTTATACAGCTTAAAGTGACATTTAAAGGCTTAACTAGGTTATTTAGGTCAACTAGGCAGGTTAGGATAATTAGGCCAGCTATTGTATAGCAATTGTGTGTTCTGTAGACAGTCGAAAAAATAATTAGCTTAAAGGGGCTAATCATTTTGTCCTTAAAATGGTGTTTAAAAAATTTTAAACTGCTTTTATTCTTGCCGAAATAAAACTAATAAGACTTTTTCCAGAAGAAAAAATAGTATCAGACATACTATAAGTTGTTGCCCTGTTAAAAATAATTTGGTAAATATTTAAAATAAAAAAAAATAAATAAATCAAAGAGGGGGCTAATAATTTAACTTTAACTGTTTGTATATGCAGTACAGATCTACAGTTGAGCAAATTTATAAGCCCTCATGTGAAATATGTATTCTTTTTGATGATTTAATGGAGACATTTTCACTGTATTTCCAATAATATTTTTTTCTTCTGAAGAAAGTCTTATTTGTTTTATTTCAGCTAGAATAAAAGTGTTTTAAAACTATTTTAAAGTCGTTAATTATCAACCCCCTTAAGCAACTTCTTTTTTTTTCAATTGTCTACAGAACAAGCCACTGTTATACAATGATTTGCCAATGCCTAGGACCAGACGGAATCTGCGGACGTTTTTTGCTCTTTCTGCAGAGAATTTTGGTAAAAGTCTGCGGATTTCTGTGGAAGTTTTTTGGGAGTATCATAACTAAAACCTTAATATATGAAATAAAAAAATTATATCTTTTTAACTTTTATTTAATGTTTAAAGCACAAATCCAATTAGATCCACTTTATTTGGTAAATAAAGCAAATTTGTCATAATATATATAGTAAAAGACAGACAATATTACTGTACAAACTGCATTGTACATAAATCAGATGAACACTTTCACATTAGTCAATAATATTACTGATATATTATATATAACATTAATTAAAAAAACTGAATAAATAAAGAATTACACACATTTGCTCAAGTAAATAAACAGAACTTATGATAGGCTAAAAATCTGCAGAAATCTGTGCGCGCAGATTCCGGGTGGCCCTACCTATGCCTAACTTGCCTAGTTAACCTAATTAACCTAGTTTAATGTTTAAATGTCACTTTAAGCTGAATACTAGTATCTTAAAAAATGACAATCATCATGGCAAAGATAAAAGAAATCAGTTTAGAAATGTGTTGAAAAAAGTCTTCTCTCCGTTAAACAAAACTTGGAAAAAAATATAAAAGAATTCAAATTTGACAAAAGGGCTGATAATTCCAACTTCAATTGTATGTGTATAATAATCCTAATAATTATGCATTTGGGTCTATTTTGACTAAGAAGAGATGCATAAAATGTGAATAAAAGCATACATTTTTAGTAAAGAACCAACTTTCCCGAGTGCTTTAAGGCCTACAAAATACACCTTTTTTATTTATTTTTTTAGATTGTACACAGTTTTGTTCACACTTTACAATAAGCTTCCATTAGTTCATGTTATTAAATGTACACGAACAAAAATAGAAAGCCAACACATTTGTTTTGCTCCCATTTTTTAGATACTCAGAGATTTGAATCTTTTTCTATGTACACAAAAAGCCTATTTCTCTCAACTACTGTTTACACATTTGTTTATCTTTTGTTTTGTAAAATGAATATTATGAATCATATGAATATATAGATTAGTCAGTACTCAAGCCAAATCTGGAGCTTATCTAACAAAATACTGAAGATAACGATCTATAAACTAGTACAGCCAAATTTATATGTCGGAGAAAATTATTATTATTATTATTTTTTTTTTTTTAAGGAGGAAAAATCAAGTGAAGAATTTTTTTTTAAATAGTTGAAATTTCGTAGGTTGTCATTTTTTTTCAATATTTTGCTTGAATTTAATTGTATTATCATGTTTGGTGACTAAAATCTTATTTTAATAAAAATACAAGTTTAATAAATCAGTTTTGTTTAAATGTACTAAAATACATTACCTATATTAACTGAGAAATGGATCAAATGAAAACATATTTATTTTCAAAATGGGGTGTACTCATTTATGCTGAGCTATATATATATTTACGTATGCTCCATTGAGTCGAGAAGAAGTGACTTGTCAGTAGAGTGTTTTACCTGTAGGCTCCATTGAGCTCTGGATGAACAACTGCAGGGTCCATGCCGGCCCAATGCGTGGTCTGTGTGAGGAACTCTTTGTTCACGCAGTTCTTCAGACTGTCTGGAATGCGACCTGGAGGAGGAACACACATTCATTATAAGGCAGGGGCAAAAATGATCATTCGACAAGCACCAAATGACATTGTTAGTGAATATTTGAAACAGCCACTCGCCAGTTCACTTTAAAAGCCCCACTTAAAAGGATAGTTTACCAAAAAATGAAAATATACTCACTATTTCCTCACCCTTAAATGCTTACAAACCTTTACAAGTTTCTTTATTCTGTTAAATACAAAAGAAGATATTCTGAAAAATGTTAACCACTGACTTCAACTGTAGAAAAAACAAAAACTATGGAAGTCAATGGTTACAGGTTTTTATTATTTTACAAAATAACTTATTTTGTGTTCAACAGCTTAAACAGGTTTTTGGCAAGTAAAGTGTAAGTTAACAATAACAGAAGTCTCAGTTTTAGGTAAACTATACCTTTAAGAATGCACTGGTTTAGCTGAATTATCAAATCGCAAAGAATGTGGTGTAATTCTGTAGATGTCATCTGAAGCAAGGCACTGGGATCTTTTCCACATCAGCAGCTTTGTTCACACTTCAAAATGTGAACAAATAGTAAACGGTTTACAGTAAGTGCTGTTCCACATGATCTACATTTCTGCATCACTCTTGAATATGCAGTATGTGCCAAACATCTTAAGAGAATGGTTTATAAATCTATTGTCAGCATAAGAGAAGCTAAATGTTTCAAGATGAGGTTTCCAAGTGGTTTTACACCAACATAAAAAAAAAATTTAACCAGGCTTTGTTCTATGTTTTTTTTTTTATAAAGAAAAGTTAACTGCATGTATCGTCTGCAAACTCTGGGTCATTTATTATGTACAAAACAAAGCTACAGTGGTTTCCCCTGTTGCAGATTCTCTTTCAATTTTTATTCTTGATTTTTTTGCAGCAATTTTATTGTAAGTGACAATTTGATACACTACACGTGTTGGAAATAAGGTTTCATTCAGAAATGATTTAAGCAATATTGAACATTTTTGTTAAATTCATAAATGTGTATGGTAGCAGCATGGCTAATGATAACAGCACATCAAAGCTGTTGAGCTAAAGAATGTTTTTTTTTTTTACTGGACGGATGAAGGGGTCAGACACCCAATGCTCTCGAATCAATTGACATTTGTCATTAAAAAGTGGAACTGATGGTGTCATGATGTGAGGACGTACCAGTAATAGCTCGTCGGATCTCCCGTGCCGCCTCCTCCCGCATCTCAATCGAGGCCTGTTCACTGTACCACGCCGCATGAGGGGTGCAGATAAGGTTGGGGGCGTCTTTAAGGGGTCCTTGACTAAAACTGACACACACAAGAGAGTCACACAAAAGACAGTCTGCTGCAAGGAGACATGTTTCTGACAACTGCATTGCTATTCGGTTTGTTTAAATGTGTTTAAATGGTCACATGCTGGTCATGTTCACACAGAATTAACAATTCATTTTCTTTTTACGGCTCAAAGGATTTAACAAATTTATCTCTGACCACACCAAATAAGTATTTCTTAGCCACAATGTTTCTCCCATTAAAGCAATGTTATTGTAAAAAAATATAATTAAAGCATATTAACAAAAAGAACTAAGCAAAAGAAAGCAGGTGAAACATACTGTGTGTGATAATGAAAGGATGTTCACATGCACACGGTTAGTATAGGCCTGTTAATCTGTTCAAAGAATAATTCAAATGAAAGCAGTGACTGCTACTGCTTACAAAAGAATATTTGTTTTTTTTTATCTTGAGCTCTCAAAAGCAGCAAGACTGTGGGTAAAACTACAATTTAAAAATGATTTCCAACCAGCCAAAGTGGCTAGTGAAGGTGTCTGTCTAACCTGCCAGAGCTGAAATCTGCCTGCATTTGGCGGGTTGGCGGGTGTTAATGTAACGCCCTGGTTATCAGTGAGAATACATTCATTTATTTTATTTTCGGCTTAGTCCATTTAATAATCTGGGGTCGCCACAGCGAAATGAACCGCCAACTTATACAGCATATGTTATACGCAGCAGATGCCCTTCCAGCTGCAACCTAGCACTGGGAAACTCAGTGTGACCAATTTTATTATTAATTCCAAACTTTTCTTGCCCCGGACGTAACGGAAATATTCTGCAGAAGCATTGCTTCAGAGCTAGTATTACCATTTAAAAAACTAAAAATATTCAAAACATTTTCATGCTGTAAGTTTAAATATAATGGAATGAAAAGTTTAGACTAATGTAAACCAACTATAAAATATTAAAATATACATTAATTCAAAATATGGCAACACTTTATTTTAATGCTGTCCTTGTTCCACATGTTCCACGTACTAATTTGAGTAACTACATTTAATAATGCACAATTACCTGCAAATAAATCTAAAATGCATTCATCAACCTTAACCATACAGTAAGTAAATGTAGTTAATTAATAATACCCAATCAATAAATGAATAGTTCCACAGTAACAAGGAGACCTTAAGATAAATCATAACCCAAAATATGTCTAATTGGGTAACATTAGTTAATGCACCAATGAACATGAAGTAAAAATGAGCAATGTTTTTGTTTTGTGTAGATTTAATATCTACAGTTCTTAATTTACAGTTAATGTTAACTAATAAAAATGTTCACAAATCATTAACTTATAAAAAAAGTCAGTGTGAAATTTAAATTTACAATGTTTAGGAGAACAATTAATCCCTGCAAAATGTTTGTTTGTTGACCTTCAATCTAAGTCTGGTGGTCCTTTTCTGTTGACGTCAGTTTGACAGCTTCAGCAAGAATATTCTTAACCACGCCCCTCTTAACATTAGTTTGCTATAAGAGAATGATGCACAAAATGAAAAGCCCCTGCTTAATAATCCATTTCAGTTGGAAGTGCACCAATATACTGAAATAATAGTCTGTAACAGTGGTGAATGCACAAACCTCAGATAATTCATATTTTTATTGTTTTTCGGGAACTAGACAAAATAAAAGTCAATCATTTAAAATTAGCTTTAGAGAAACCTAGATAACTCGTAAGCCACAAATGACATTTTTAACAAAACACCTTTTGATATACAACAGAAAAAAAAATATATATATATATATATATATATATATATATATATATATATATATCTCAACAAAATCACTTAATTTTCAAATACAATTATATTTTTCTCAGAAGAAATATAACAATTAGTATAGAAAAGGAACACGTATTCATCTTTCCTGCAATATAAACGTAAATAAAACACTTAATAATTAATTTAAAGAAATAAAGTTCACTTTCACAACAGTTCAGTTTTTCAAACTTTCACCTCTAACAAATCTGGTAACCAGACTTAAAGTTTCGTTTCTTTTGTTTTATATATATATATATATATATATATATATATATATATATATAAAACAATCAACAACAAAATCACAAACACACAACCAAAACCTAGAATAATGATAATAAATTCCCACAAGTAATAAGCTCATTGGGTGTATGCGTTATGTGTGTGCGTTTATGTAGGGGAGGAATCAGCTGCTTGAAGCTTGCATTGATTTGGCGGCAAAACAGCTAACAATCAGCAAATTCTGTTTTACGCAAACTTTAACATGTAACTTTTTATCTTAAGAACGGGGTTTTAAATGTTACATTAACAAATATACAGAATTAGAATTATTAGCCCCCCTTTGAATTATTATTTTTTTAATATTTCCCAAATGATGTTTAACAGAGCAAAGAAATTTTCACAGTATGTCTGATAATATTTTCTCTTCTGGAGAAAGTCTGATTTGTATTATTTTGGCAAGAATAAAATCAGTTTTTAATTTTTTAAAACACCATTTTAAGTTTTACAGAACATACCATCGTTATACAATAACTTGCCTAATTACCCTAACCTGCCTAGTTACCCTAATTAACCTAGTTAAGCCTTTAAATGTCACTTTAAGCTGTATAGAAGTGTCTTGAAAAATATCTAGTCAAATATTATTTACTGTCATCATAGCAAAGATTAAATAAATCCATCATTAAAAATTACTTATTAAAACTATTATGTTTAGAAATGTGATGAAAAATCTTCTCTCCATTAAACAGAAATTGTAGAAAAAATTAACAGGGGGTGCTAATAATTCAGAGGGTTTAATAATTTTTCAACTGTATGTCCTGTTGAGGTATTATTTATTGGTAGTTCATTCAAAATAATTAAGTTATCTAACAATAAGTGAGTAATTAATGCACATTTATACGGTGCATTTAGTATGTATTGCCATACACCCAAAGCGTCCATTAGTAAATGTAGCTAAGGAACCATCAATTAAAATAGTATTTATTTATTAATCATTAATAATGTTAGTTGAGGAAAATAAATAGTTTATTGATAGTTCATGTTAACTGACAGTGCACTGACTAATGTTACCAAGCTCATTTTTGGATGTTAATAATGCATTAGTAAATGTTGAACTAGGACTGGGCTGATGAAGATATTATATTGAATATCAATAATTTTTTACTTTTTTACTCTATATTGATCTAAGAGCCAATCACAGAGCAGAAATGTGCAACAATGGAAATCTAGAAGTGTGTTGATATTAGGGATGTACCGAATTTTCAGCCACCGAAAATTTATCAGCCGAAAATGTTATGCTACTCAGTGGACCATCTCATTTTTGTGGCTTCAGTCATTGTTGAGGGACTCTTTTAAATCAGAAAGCATTAACAACTTACATCAAAATATAAATCGTTATCGTTCAATATGGAAAATAACTATTGTGATTGCATTTTTGCCATAATGCCCAGCTCTGTTAAAATATGATTAATAAATGCTTTAGGATAAGCAATACTTATTTTATGCTAGTAGTAAATGAATTAACAAACATTACTAATAATCCTTTATGTTGAAGTGTTACCATAAAACCTCACTGTAAATGAACTGTACTACAAAAACTATAAAAAAATACAAGTAACACTAGCTTTCAGATTTGGCATTTAAGCAATTTGACCCAATTTGACCGAATCTCAGTCTTGCTGTCAAATACACCTTTAATTGTGTTTTACAAATAATGTCATCACTCCTTAATGTATAAATAAAAAAGCCACTACTACTGATGACGTATAAATTCCAGCGTTTCACATTCCAGTTTGTTTCCTCAGAAACTTCTTTTGGGAAGCAGCTCACATACTTTGGATCCCTAATATCGCATTCTCAGCAAACACGCCAGTGTTTTGTCTGTGCAGCTTGAAGCCAAATAACACATTGCGATAAAAACCTTCACAGGCAAGGGGTGGAATAAAAATGAGTTTTGGAGCAAGCGATCGAACAAATGTCAGAGGAAATGTGAAATGTTACATGAAATGCTGTTATTCACCTGAAGGGCTCTGTCTCGTGGACGTCCAGTGCTGCTCCTCGTATTCTGCCCTCTTTCAGAGCCTGAGCCAGAGCTTTCTCATCCACAAGACCACCACGCGCAGTGTTCACTAGGAAGGCGCCTTGACGCATCTAGAGTTGGTGAAAAGTAATGAGCAGAAACAAACGAGGTTGTGATATTAAAGTAATAAGCACCAAGAAACTGTGGTTTACAGTGAATTTACCACAGCTAAGTTGTTAGGCATGACATGGAGCCTGAAAGCATTTACTGTGTAATCAAATATAATAGAATGCAGTTGGAATTATGTTATGAAAGCAAAAAAATAACCCTTGAATTATGTTTTAAAGGATTTGACATAGATAAGCAAGCAAGATTATCATTTTTTCAATCGTCACACATCTCAGCACAGATATTGATATTGACTTTATGCAGCAGTTTAGCAAACAAAAGATGAACTCATTCTCTTTATCCTTATTTACAATTTGTTTGTGATAATTACGGTGTTACTGCAAACATCATACATTTTAGCAAAATAGGTGCTTTATTATTAATGTTATTTTACACTAATTTCTATTTTATATTAGAAACCAAAAGTACCTTTAGGATCAAAAATGAAAAATTAAAAGTGTAATACTTTAATCCCAGTGCAAAAAAGTCATATATGCTTTGTCAGAAGGCTTGGAGTTTGTCCCTAATAATTAAGCTGTAATTATTTTAGATTTGTATTTGTAGTTTATAATGCATAATGCTTTAAATATGCTTTTAAGCATTTTAGGCTAAATGAAGGAAAATGATGTCATTATAATTATGTTGGTGTATTGATATGAATATCTGAGTTTGTTTCGTCTGTATATACACAGACATTTTTATATATGTTTGAGTGGTATTTTTAAAGTAGAATTGCGCAAAAAAAAAAAAAAAAAAACATTCATTCATTCATTTATTCATTCATTCATTCATTTTCCTTGGGCTTAATCCCTTATTTACCAGGGGTCGGCACAGCAGATTTTCCAGCATATATTTTACGCAGCGGATGCCCTTCCAGCTGCAACCCAGTACTGGAAAACACCCACACTCACAATCACTCATCCACTATGACCAATTTAGTTCATCTAGTTTACCTACACCATGTCTTCAGAAACCAGAACACCCGTAAGAAGCCCACGAGAACACAGGGAGAACAAGCAAACTCCACACAGAAATACCAACTGGCCCACCAATAACCTTCTTGGTGTGAGGCGACAGTGCTAACCACTGAGCCACCGTGCCGCCTAAATTTTTATATTTTTTTCAAATAATTGAATTAAAATGAATGTTATTTCTAATGACTGATTTTTTTTTATCAAGACTGTAATAATAATAACAACAAAACCTGCTCAGCCTTTTGCTTATGGAAAAATAATAACTGGATTGTGTTTTTAGAGGCATTATGTAAGCAAACTTGAAAAGCTCAAAATGGAAACCATTTTAGTAGTTACCAGGACTGATGCTGCTACGGAAATCTATGTTAGTGAAATGTAAAAACTTTATTATTAAATAAATATTAAAACAAATCTGAATAATGTTTTTTTAAAGACACATTTTAGACCTGTGTGTATTTTTTAAACTGAAACACACAGGTTAATATTCAGCAGAGTAAAACATTTGATTCTTCTTTTTTAAATGAACCTATTCAAAGGCTATAGAATACACAAGACTTATCACTCGCATAGTTTCGATGAGGGAAAGTGTAACAGTCAATTTAGCGAATGAAGCCCCACCTCCTGGTACAGGAGCCAATCATTGATCACTATAGACTGACATTTCTCCAGCTGAAAAATTTGGACCAGACGTGTGCTATAATGACAGTTTGGTGGTCAACAAACGCACTGGAATCTTAGTGAACACTTGCTTCACAGACATAAGAAATATATCCACATAAAGCTTGAAATCTGCACTTTTAGATGTGCAACTCTAAAGTTTTTTGGTTTTGTAATCTGTATGAAATGAACGCGAGATACAGTCCATCTTGTCAAGCGCACATCAAATGACAACAACTACTCAAACAAACAAACTTGTAAACAAAGAGTCACTGTCATTTCTGGAGGAGATTCGCCATCAAGATCAAGTTGTGGATTCCTTCAGAAGACAAGTGAGACCAGACGATCCCTAATCAGAGGAGGATAATGTGTAGAACGGCCATAAATGAGGTTTGTCTCGTAATCTCGAGTGTGCATGCGCATTAGCTTGGACAACCCGAAAATATGCTGATTTTGATTGAATTAGATATTTAGAAACTAAGCTTATGAGACTGATGTTGTTTAATTTTATTAGTGATTCCAAATATTTAATGTAATCGTAAACATTTAGAGAATTTGATGTTTCCCCGTTCAGACAGAATTCCTGAGCATACTGCCCGAGAGACTTTTCAAAGATGGTCGTCGAGTGAAATGACTTTCCTTAGACAGACTTTGATCTATTTCAAACAAATCTAATGAGCCACTGATTCAATGATTGATTCATTAACACTACTTGTCACTTGCTTCGTTTCTAATTATGTCAACAAGTTTTGCTGACACCATCTTATTTTTGGCATTTTTATTGTCATGATATTTCTCAATGACAGCCCTAACCAGCCAAGTAACAAACAAACATGCTGCAAAAAACTGTGTAATTATTGTCATTTCAAAACCTCCCAATTATATTAATATTTTTGTTAGTATTGCACACCCCTATTTGCAGCAGTGAATGTGTGGAGGACCTGTTTGATGGTGAAGTCATTGATCAGATGGTGGTTGTGCTCATTCAGACTGCAGTGTAAAGTGACGCAGTCGCTGTGGAAGAGCAGGTCCTGTAGGGTGTTGACTCTCTGCAGCCCCAGGGCTCGCTCCATCCCGTCAGACAGGTACGGGTCATAGAAGATCACACTGAAGCCGAACGCTTTTGCCCTCAGCGCCACCGCCTGTCCAACACGCCCTGAAGGGTACACACAGCATATCACTTTAACCTTGCCTTTAAGTGTTGTTGTATTACATGAGTTCAGTGCAATACCTGTCTACTCCCAAACCCTTGTCTACAACAAAACAGCTTGCACCAAAATAGTTCATCTAAAAATGAAAAATTGCTCATTATTAAATCCACCTGAAGTGGTTATAAACCTTTATGAGTTTCTCACTATTGTTGAACACAAAAGGAACATGTAAATGTTAGAAACATGTAACCATTGACTTCCACCGTAAGAAAAACAAACAACTATGGAAGTCAATGGTTACTGCTTTTGTTTTTTGTTGACTTTTTTTTATATTTTCTTTTGATTTCAACAGAAGAAAAAAAACTTTTAGAACTGAATTTAATGAAGTGCATCTAAATGTGAATTTCATTCAACGTTATTGACATAATCTCAACTGAAGCATGAAGAAAGGGTGCGACATAGCGTAGCCCCCTTCCCTTTTATAAAGAAGCCAGCATCATAGCTCTGACTGTGATGGTACACAACTTGATAAAAAAAACTGAAGTATGAATGAAAAAAAAAAAAACGTTGATCCGTTTAATTTACAAACTGCAAGTTTTGGATGTTTATATCAGGTTCATCATCTTCGAAACTTGAATTTTGTCACTGTTTTTGAGCTTACTAGCTCATAGCTATCCTTAAAACAAACATACAGTACTGTTACTTTCATCTAAAAAAAACTTAAAAACTTAAATTAAAACTATTTTAATTTTACAATAACCAAATTCTTGACGTTCAATTTTAAAATGGAACTTTTTCTGTGTAATGTGATTTTTGCATCATTACTTCACTCTTCAGTGTCATACAATCCATCAGAAAAGCATTCTGATCAGCTCATTTGATTCTCAAGATATTTTATCATGATTATCAGTGCTGTAATCTATTTTCTGGAAACTAAGTTATGGTTATATTATAAAAATAGTTTTTTTTTAGATTTCTTTTAAAAACAAAAAAAAAAGTTAAAGTAACATGATTTATTTAAAACAAAGCTATATTTTCAACATTATGGAATGTCTTTACTGCCACTTTTAAACAATGTAATGTTTTCTTCCAGAATCAAGTGTTCATTTATTTTGAAATAAATCTTATTTATCCTGTATAGAATATTTTAAATAACCAAAAGTTATTAATAAAGAAAAATATTACAGAAAATGAACACTGCATTAAACGCCTTACAAATTGATCATAAAAAAAGACAATCTTATTTTTAAGCATTGACATCTGTATCACTTTCTTTTTATCCTGTGAACAGTTCTTCAGGCCCTGTCTACACCTGTTATTTAAGAGGCATCTTCATGGATCCGATTACAAGTGGATGAGTGAGCCTGTCTACTTTTGTGATTGGTAGGGGAAAGTGCATCAAAACAACTTATTCATACTTCCGTGCACTGCACCAAAACACTCAATCTAAATCACAGTTGCAACCATATCCTACACATTCACTTGCTTTCCTGCTGGCTGCATAAATTGGTTTGTTCATTCAACAGTACTTGTGTGTCCCCCTGTGTTCTTGCAAAAGCAGGAAAAAAAAGAGCCAAAAGTGTCGATGAAATGCAAACAAATTTGGAACAGTTTCCACTTAATAGCAAGTGAAAACGATATTGCATCTCTGTTCAATTATGTGATTTTATAACTACATATGCACCACAATTGCATGTGTTTTGTTGTTTGCAGGAGTCTATTTACATTTACAGACACTAAAATTGCACAAATAAATACAAATACTTTATATCTCATTTAGGCCAAGTTCAGACTACACAATTTTTATATACAAGACATTCGTAAACAACAAATAAGCGATCGCAATGCAATGTTTAATTGTACCTTTTCATATAGCGTGCCATAATGCATGACAACTGATTAGGGCTGCACAACATTATTGTAATGGCGATGAGAGTATACAATACATGCATTTCAGATATGTGGGATAAATTACATTTCATTTTATGCATCTGCTGTTTATCTAAATTTGACATATCAGATAGGGCCTTACTATCTCCATCCCCGACCTCCCCAGTAGTTCCTGTTCTGCAATTTTACCAAATAAATTACAGTATGTGCATTAAAAAAGGCATGTGATTTTGATATAAGAGATCATATGAGGATAAAAAAATGAGTGAAATGGACAAACCAGCAGGCTGTGCACACTGTTACCCATCTAAAATGTTGTTTTGGTCATTCTAAAACGCCTGCACCGTTTCAGTATTAGTGTTATTATGTTATTAATGACCTCCAGAATCAAGAGCATCTGTGCTCTGCGTCTCACGCCTTCAAAAGTCACACCGCATTCATTGCGTGTCAGGATTGCAAGTAATTTATTAAATAAAGAAAAGATTGACGCAGCTTCTTCTACTGCAGCCAATTCAGTTTTTGATATTTGGTGCCAGTTAATCAGGAAGTGCCGATTTTTTTTGCTTTGACTCGTTGGTTGGAAACACTGTTTTATTTGCACATCTTTTATGCGATAATCCAGTTTTGCTTATTCAATTGAAATGGTCATTTAATAGATTTTCTGCATTTGCACTCATATTGAGATTTCTATGAAAACTACTACTAGTTGAATTGAACTTGTTAAAGTAAATGTGAATATATACTAACTTTTCCCCTTTTTGTTGTAGCTTTACAAAAAAGAAAGATACTGAGAACAATTGCCAGTAAAGCCAGTAAAGTTACCCAAATTGTTTCTGCTGCTCTTACCCTAACTGTTAAACTTTTGCAATAATTGGTTGGGACAGAATAATAATATTTATTACTATCATTATTATGACTATTTAAATGTCAACATGCTAATTTTAACAGCCACATATATATTTCAGCAGTTGTATGAAGCAAAAAACGTTCTGATTTGCATTATCACTGGCAACAGTAATGCTTGAAATATAAACATCAGGTCTGTTGTCCTAAGATGCATAATTTGTTCTTGTGTTTAAATGTTGAAACAGCCCTGCTGTGAATTGTCAGTTACTAAAATGGCCCCCCACCAATTTGAGTTTGAGAACCCTGATTTAAAGGCTTAATTAGGCAAGTTAGGGTAATTAATATAGCAGTAGTTTCTTCAAAATATATATATATTGCTTAAGGAGACTACTAAGATTGATGTTATTTTTCTAAATGATTTGATTTTAATATTTTTATTTATTTAAATTTACTTTTATTCCAACCGAAAAAAAAAAAAAAAGACTTTCTCCAGAAGAAAAAATATTATAGGAAATACTCCAAAAATGTCCTTGCTCTGTTAAACATAACTGAAATATTTATTTTTAAAAATAATTCACAGGAGGGCAAATAATTTTCACTTCAACTGATAATCATTTTGAATAATCGTGATTACAATTATGACCGAAATAATTGTGATTATGATTTTTGCCATAATTGAGCAGCCCTAGTTTCTATATATTAATACCAAAAACGCATAGGAAAATTTCTGACTTCAGCGTGCAAAGACCTTAAGAGATTGGACCTTAAGAGAATACACAAGGAAGTAGATCAGGCTTCATTCTGATATTCAAAATGTATTTAAGTGAGACAACGCACCCAGTCCAATGATTCCCAGTGTCTCTCCTCTGATTCGGGCTGCTCCAGATGCGACCTCCCGAATCTGTTCCACACTCTGGACTCGCGTGCCTTCCCGGAGAGCCTGGTGCAACCAGGTGGTGCGTCGGTAGAGATTTAGGATGTGACACATGGTGGAGTCTGCAGTCTCTTCTACTGATGCTGCTGGCATGTTGCAGACGGCAATACCTGCAGATGTGGAGAGGTTACGCTCCTAATACAGAAAATAAACACACTGCTGTCGAGCATGTGGGATGTAATGGCAAGGCATTACCTAAGTCTCCAGCAGACTTTATGTCGATATTATCAAAGCCGCTCCCAATGCGGACAATTATACGAAGTGCTTTGAACTTTTCCAGGTCCTCCCTCATAAGGGTGATTGTGTGGTACATGAGAGCACCCACTGCTTCATTTAATACCTGAAAGAGGAGACAGAAACTACAGTCAGTCTATGCAAGGAAGAAAAAAAAAAAGTAAAACTCCCAATATATAATGTATCTCAAGAACAATACTTTATTTTAAATATTTCTGATTGCATACAATGTAGACTGCATTGCAAGCTTTAACAACTTTTAGAAGATTAAGCTATGCAAAGACATTAATTTCATACTCTAGAGTTTCTTCTACACATACATGTTCTACACACACAGATACATACTTATATATTCATTCTTTTAATTTTGTCCATAATATGTTCCATTTTATAAAATTTTATTTTATTTCATATTTTATTTATTATATTTCATATTTTATTTAATTTTCTTTTATATTTTTTATTTAATTTTATAATTTTTTCCTTTTATATTTTATATATTTTATTTTATATATTACATTTTATTTTATATTTTATATTATTTTTATATATTTTATTTTATTTTTTATATTTGTTTTATATTATTTTAGGGGGTTGTCACTGCGTCTGTAACAACATGCAACAAGCTATAAATTTGTCTGACTTATTCTGCAAAAAAAAAACAACCACCTGGATGTACTTTATCCTGTTATTACATCGCTACATGCATCTTTTAGTCTACTTCACTTTGTCTGGCAGGTCCTTTTTTAAGTGATTACTTAAAAGCGAACTGGTGTGGCAGTATTTAGGCCTGGGTGTGGCTAGAGAAATTGAACTTAGGTGTGATAAACCAGAGTGATAAACAGGGAGCAAACACTTTTTCACACAGGGTGATGTAGTTTTCTAATTTGGTTTCCCTTAGTAATTAAAACCTTCATTTTAAAACTACATGATGTGTTTGTTAAACTTTGGCCAATATTTCAATTTGTTTAATGATCTGAAACATTAAAATGTGACAAACATGCAAAGAAAAAGAAATCAGTAAGGGGGCAAACATTTTTTTACATCTCTGTACAGTACATGGATGTGAATGTAATCACTGACGGTCAAGTTGATTTGAGTTTCAGAGGTTGTTATCTGGGAATAACATACCATGGGATGTTGTGAAAAACTAATTAGAATCAAGTATTATTATATTATATTATATTATATTATATCATATCATATCATATCATATCATATCATATCATATTATATTATATTATATTATATTATATTATATTATATTATATTATATTATATTATATTATATCAGTGGTTCTCAAACTGTGGTACGCGGGCTTCCTCCTAGTGGTACGCGGAGGAACCGCTGAACAATGAAAGAAACAATTAACACTTTTAATCCTTTAATGCGTAATATAACATCGATGTGATCAGCATTGGCTGTTTTGTGAAGCGTACGATCACAACGCTGTGCTTAGAGTGTTTATTTTAGTGCATTGTGTCATAAGCTGTTATAAATCATTTCCCGAAGTTTAAGAATTGATTCTGAAGCGTGATTTGATTGACATGAAAAATGGCCAATCACAGTCGACCTTGTCTAGTTGCGTGAAACGTAAGGGCGGGACAAATGCTTTCTGTGTTGCAGAGACAGAAAAAACAACTTAAAAAAAATGTTTTGTTGGATTAATGCTTCTCGGATGTCTTCACTATAGAGATGTCTGGCTGAGTAATTAAACCGCGGACATATTTCCTGCCTTTTTGATGATCTACAAACACGTTTCGCTCTCCGACAGCCAGTCTCTCGCCTCTGACCTGTCACTCCTCTAAATACATTCTGAATGGCGGCGCGGGAATGGAGGTATTGCGCAATAACTCATTTCTACAAATGTGGCGAGGGCTTTATTTTAACACGAGAGCGCATTCATGTACGCAAATCGCTAAAACAGATATGTGAGCTTTTAAATAGGCTATTTTTTTTTTCAAATGAACTGCAAGTCCTCTCAGGATCGCCTGTGTGCTCAGAATGAATACAATCGCGATCTTTCCACTATTAAAGTAGACATTATTTATCTTTGCTCCTTGACTAAATTTAGTCAAAAGTATTCAAAGTTATTAAGTATTTAGAAATAGATTGATACATGATCGATGACAATGCTAATGGTCTTCTTATTTGGCTGTGTTTGTGAAGTGAAACTTACTTTTAGCAAAGGTGTATTTTTTTCTTTTTTTTTTTCTTTACGACAAAATAATTATGCTGGAAATGTTTCTGGATGAGGTATTTGTGTGATTTATACATTTAGCTGTATTCTGATCTGTCTTAAAGCATTACAGGTCAAAGCAATCCGTTGTTACTTATTGTTTATTTATAAATATTAACAATAAGACTCTTAAAGCACTGCTTTGATAAATGTAGTGTCGTCATTTCAAATACCTCAAGTAAAATGAAGTCATTTGTTTTATTAATTTTTTTTTTACTGACAGTGTACTTGTATTTTTTTTAAAGTTTCTATTTTAGATTAGGTTAAATGTAAAATAAAATCTACATGTGATGTACAGCTTTTTAAGAAACAAATTTGCCATATTGTAAAGAAAAATAGTGTAAAATATGTAAATAAAAGGCTAAATTAAATCTTTTTACCATATACTTCAATTAAACCTTTCAAAGCTTGTAAATATCGTTTAAAAAATGGGCTAAAAGTGTCTCTATGGCCTTAAAGATTATTTGGTAGTTTTACCAGTGCTATTGAAAAAGATTAATTGTCATGAAAGGAAAAATCGACCATACTTTCTTTGTTAGTGCAATTTCCTATACATGTAGCTTTGGGATTTAAGCAATTAAACCATTCAATCAGGTTTCCACGTAAAAAAGTGATTTCATGATGAAAATCAGAAAATTTTTCAAAAGTAACCAACTAGTACTTTTTAAAAGAGTACTTTGTACTTTTACCTAATATTAATATTATTTACTAAAATTTGTGTTATTTTAGCAGTGTAATAGTATTTTTACTTGAGTACAAAAAAGATTTCACAAGCATTTAGTGCAGGTTTATTATATTATTAATATATGATTAATAAATATTATTTTTTATGTTTTTTATTTGTATCTATTCCTATGCAATGTTTTATGGGTTGCTGAGAATACTTTTCAGGTCTTCAATACATGTCAGTCTTGAAAAAAAAAAAATAGGTGCTGGAATTGATTTTCATTAGGCTGTGCCTGTATGAACCCTGTCATATGTACATTTAACATATATTTCAAGATTTGTCTGAAAGTGTAGGAATGTGACATATAGCCTATATTTATAAGGTAAAAGCAACATCTCCAGCTTTTGATGAATAGGCTACTATGAATACTTTAGATTTAAGTACAGCAGTTTTCTTTTTACTTTTTAAGAACAATGCCATTTTTAATGAACTTTTAAAAGCACAATTTTTAATCTGCAAGCAAAGTTAATGTTCAGACTATTTCAAATGTTTAAAGTGACTGATAATAATACATATTCTTAATAATAGGAATTAATCTGCATCGTTTTTAAACTGTGCACACCTGTAGCTGCTTAATTAGGCCTATGACGCTATTTTTTAATACTGGTTAAAAAATAGCGTCGTAAGGTGGTACTTGGAGAGACAATTTTTTTCTAAGGTGGTACTTGGTGAAAAAAGTTTGAGAACCACTGTATTATATTATATTATATTATATTATATTGTTGTTTTTTTAACTTGGGTGTTCAAAATAATAATATAATATAATATAATATAATATAATATGATATAATATAATATAATATAATATAATATAATATAATATAATATAATATAATATAATATAATATAATATAATATAATATAATTTTGTCTTCATTTAAATCAAAATAAAATCATAAAATCATGAATGTGGCAGTGCGTTTTCTCATAACACAATAATGCACGATTTTAAATCTGATGAGAAAATCCTGAGGTGAACTCTTAATTGGAAACTATTACAACATTCACTACACGCCTCCAAGACGTTTCACTATTAATATGACTTAACATGATGCCACAAGTTTTCACTCTGAATATAAACTTCACTCTACAACTTCACTAATGACACTTCATGTTGATTAATCAGTTTACTTGAATACGCTTGACATAATCTAATAAACCGTCAAATTCAGGAGAAACACACAACAGAAGTAGATTTACCACATCATAACTCTGTTGATGAAAAACATAATTTGCTTTGACACAGATCAAGAAAAATCTCAGCATTAAGCAGTCAGTGTTGGTTTATAAGCTACAACACAATGAAATTTAAGCAGACATTTTTTTTACAGATTTAGTAGACAGTTTTCTTGTCACTTCATCATCCGCTAATAATTCCTCTCCCAGACAGACAATTGATTTTACATCTCGAGGAGACCGAATCATCAGTGGACTAGCTAGAACTGAACAAAAAGGAATAGAAACCATCAAAGTTCAAATGGTTTCCACTACAAGTGAAACTGACATACCATCAAACTCTAAGTATCAAAACCAGACAGTTTATTGAATTAAAATGCATTTTGGGGCATATTCCATCAAAATGTTTTGGTTTTGACAAGCCACCAATAAAAGGCAAAAAAATACAAGTGAAATGGAGACTGATCAGAATGAAACAGCAGACATAGTAAGAAATAAAACATAACAACAACAACTTAATTTAATTTTGAGAGGGTAAATATGTTTTTAAGAGGTTGCCATTTAAATCATTAAAAAAAATACCACCAAACCAAGAGCATTTTATCCTTTTTACCTTAAAACAAATACTTAGTATTCTCAAGCCACTGTGAAATACTCGATTTATCTAAAGACATAAAATCAATCGTCTAGTCAATAAAATGAAAGAAAGTGCAGATTTTGAGGATCTTTTGGTCTACTTCACTTTGTCGGGAGTAATATTTAGGTGATTTCTTAATTGCGAACATGTGTGGGGGTATTCAGGCATAGATGTGGCTACAGAAATTGAACTTTGGACCAGAAATTGTGTGATGAACCAGAGTTAAGTTACGTTTTAACTGGGAGAAAACACTTTTTCACATAGGGCTATGTAGTTTTATAATTTGTTTTCCGATTGTAATTAAAGACGTTTAGATGGGTCTAAAC